GTGATATTAAACTGAAAATGATTTTTTTTACTTTTTTAAATGTTTATGAAATCACTTACATTGAATGCTGCTCGTTGATGTTTAAATGTTTTAGTTTCTTGCAGAATCAGCTGGTCCTCTGAGCACTGGTCCTGACTTCCTGTTTTAGAGTGACTCCTTTCTCAAGCAGAGTGCTATGCAGTCACCCATGTGTATGCTACTAAGCTGTGTGTGTCTCCACAGACACAGCAAATCAAGCTACTCCCCTCTCCCTTGCCCCCCTCTTCTCCAGGCTAGTAGATGAATAGTTGCTGGAGCCTGCACTATCCTTTGTGATCTTGTACTGGACAGAAAGTTCAGGGAAGCTCTGAGAGACTTGGACGCAGCTGTTCAGAAACATGATGACTATAAGTGTTTGGGCAAAAATGTAAAGCAATACTTTGCTGGGCAATGAATATTTGTTTGGTCTGGATTCATTATTGAAAAAAGTTTGATATTACTTTAATGTGATTGCACACATGAGTGTTTGTTTGAACACATGAATGTTTTGACTGTTAAAGGGGACTTTAAAAATACTTTGGAAAGGTAATACCTTTAATTAAGTTTTAAGTGGCAGGAGTGCTGACTGACAGGGGGTTCAGTGGCAGGTAAGCTGGGCATCAAAGGGGAGCAGTAGCAAGAGTACTGGGTAAGGGAAGCTGAAAAACAGGGGGCTGTAATGCCGGAGAGGTGTGTGTGGTGGTGGGGGGGTAGTGAAAACGGTGCTGGGTGGCAAACTGGAGCTGTAGCAGGGAAGTACAGTATCAGGGTATGCAGGGAAACATAAGGTTGCCAAGTGAGGAGAGAGAGATGTTGGGGGGGGGGGGGCAAGACCATGACCTCTGATCAGTGTTGCCCACTGATCTATGTTTGAGTGGACGTATAGCCAAAACTTCTTTTGGTAGAGTGGAGAAGGGTTAGAACCCCTGCCAAACTTTTATTGCTGTCTGTGTTCCACTGGGTGGATTTAATCTCTCTATTTGTCCTGTTGGATATTGACACAAAATTGAAAAAAATATAGGAAATGCAAAATGTATCCATTGTCCCCAGAACAGGAATAGAGGGATACTCTTCCAATGGGAGAAACTGCCTAAGAGGGGAATTCTGCTTACTTTGTGGAGATTTACTCTCACTTCCATGTCTCCATGTCTGGAAGTGAAGGCAAACCTCCCTGCTGACAGGGTTTTTTTTTAACTCTTTCCTGTTCTACCCAAAACTGAAGAAAAGCGTATTCTGGGTACCGTATTTGCTGGTGTATAAGGCGACTGGGTGTATAAGACGATCCCCTAATTTTCCAGTTAAAACATAGGTTTTGGGCTATACTTGTCGTATAAGACTACCACCCCTTCCGAGGCTACATATTTCCTTCTTCTTGCTGGAGCCATGAGGGGGGTCTTGTCTACCACCCATTTTGTTTAAATACACCCACTAATCTGTCAGCCCGCTGGTTGTGCGGTAATACTGTATGTACGGTAGCTTCGGCTACATACAGTATACCGCGCTGAGCCAATCACGGCGGATCGCTTGTACATTAACGGGCAGCGCTTTCTGTTTTCACATATCGGCATTTCCTGCGAGGGGGCGTGGCTGAGCAGACGTCTAAAGACGCCCGCTCAGATCTGGAGAGCTCCTGGCCGACCGTTTTTTTACAATGGCCAGCCGGGAAGTGGTTAAAGGCATGCAAATGCACATCAGTGGCAAAAAACGGGGCCTGCACCAGTTTTTTTTAAAGCTGAACTCCAGGTATAAAAACATTTATGTATTGGTCCAGCTTGGCCAAACGTAAGTATATATTTTATACCTGGTAGGGCCACAGGGATCCTGTAAAATACTGTAGTAGCCAGCACCACTACAGTGCTTTACATCTCTGCTGGTACTTTCAGATGGGTTAACATGTGGTTCATTCCCATTCCTCACACATGCCAGTGCTGATGCTTTCCACTCATCAGGCATACTGTCACATGTGCTGTGTGTCCCCATTTGTGAGTGATTCCCAGGTCCATACTGAAGTACACAGGTTTGGTTATGGAGCTAGAGGAAGCAATCAATGGACTACAAATGCAATTACATCACTTTTCTTGTGCTCCAATGAGAACTAAGAGTTTCTGTGCTGCAATGGACTTGTAGTTTTTCCATTCACAGTTCCTGTGAATGGATGACACATTGTGCCGGTGCAGCCATTCCTACAGAAAAAGGAACCCTGCTATTCAGGTAAGAAGGGGGTGGTTTGAGGGCGGGGGACTGCAGAATGGCACCATGTTCCATGTTGTACCCTAATTATGGGTGTACCATGAAACATGGCATTTTCCATATAAATCACTTTCTAAATCCTTTTATTTTTTAAAATGTTTTTCTATGTGGGCATGTGCCCACAAAGCTCCTTGCACTGTGAAGGCGCGACAACCATGCTGAATTCCCTATAGCAGTGACATCATCGTGCTGTCATCCACAGCCAACAGTACTGTCAGCTAGAAGATAAATGTATGCCAACCAGCCACAGTAAGGTTGTGGAGGGGGGTGAGCACTGAAGCTTTGTGGTCATATGACCATATAGAAAAAAACTGAAAAAAAAAATAAAAGGGATTCAGAAAGGATGTAATGTAAAATGTAAGAAGAGAGGACCACAGCAAAGGGGAAGCATCATATAACAGGTATGTCTCCTTGTAGTTTAAGTAAAAGTTTTTTTTTTTTATAAAAAAGTCAAAAAAAAAACTCCTTTAAGAGCAAGGTGCATTAACCTATAACGACTATAAGCTGCTCATTTTTAATTGCTGAGACAGCAAGGAGAAAAAAAAAGAGTTGGCAGCATGCAATGGATGGCTTCTACTCTTTTCAGAAACCACTATTACATAAAAGTATGGACCTGTCCTTATGGGGCTTGAGGAAGTATTCAATTGACTACAAGTGTGGTGGGATTCACCCGGACAGTCCGGTCTTTGAGTCTTGTGACCAGGTGTCAGGCCAGCTGACACAAGATACTTTTGACAGATACGGCTGCCGAGGTCCCCAGCAAGCACAGGACCTCAGGCAGCTGCATCTGCCTGAGGAGGAATCTGTGAGCCATGGGGACCTGTAAATAGGCGCAGGCCAGCCCGGACATGTCCTCCTCCTCCAGCACCTTCCTGACAGCAGACTGCCCGCCTCTGGACCCCTGGTGAGACCCCCGCACTTCCCTCACAACAACCTAAAAGCCAGCATAGCCCACTTGAGACAACACACAGACTCCTGAGAGCACGCATAGCCCACCTGAGACGCCACAGGACCTGAGAGCACGCATAACCCACCTGAGAGCATGCATAGCCCCCCAGAGAGCATGCATAGCCCCCCAGAGAGCACACATAGCCCCCCAGAGAGCACGCATAGCCCCCCTGAGAGCACGCATAGCCCACCTGAAAGCACGCATAGCCCCCCTGAAAGCATGCATAGCCCACCTGAAAGCACGCATAGCCCACCTGAAAGCACGCATAGCCCACCTGAGACCCTGAGGACATCAGGGTGCCACCCCAGGACAACACAGAGTATGTAATTTAATATTATTTTGCATTGCTGTAAAATGTATTGCTGGTATTTGTAGTCCTCTATAGCCGGCCTGCTTACTTCCTCCTCTGGCTGTTTCTTTTTCCTCTTTCTCCTGGCTGCATCTCCTCGCTCTCTCCTCTATATTCTCCCCCACAAAGAATTGGCGCACGCAGAGCTAAAGTGTTCGGGTTTCACTTGAAGAAAAGATGGCAACCCTAGTGGTGACGTCACTGAAGATGTGCACCATTGAGATCTATGAGTCCCTCTCTTGTGATGGCAGATGGGACTTGTAGCATAATTCATTCAACAGGCAAGTTATTGTGTAGCCTTTCTTTCTACTGTAACTAAAGGGTTCTGCTTTTATAGCAAACCATGCAACTGTGCACAAAGTGTATTAACCTTTAGTGACCAATAAGAGCTCACTGTAAAAATGCTGAGATGGCGAGGACAAAAAAAAAGGAGTAGCCTGCTTGCAATGGACGGCTTCTCTCTTCAGAAACCACTATGACATAAAAAAGCAGTAGGAAAAGCAGAAGCTGAGAGATAAGCAATGCAAGTAGAAACACTGCAGCAGCGCCAGGAAGAGATGTTACACAGCATTACACTCCATTTATAGAGCTATGCGTATGCACTTCACAATTACAACCTGTACCCAGCCTGCCATTACACAATTAAACTCTATTATGCTGGGCACACACCTTACAACCATCGCAAGACTTTTGTCTTGCGATGGTTGTAAGGTAATTAACAAAACGTACGATCTGCCTATCTTGGACAGGCAGATCGTACTTGCGATGATCGCAAGCCGCGCAATGCTGAACAGGCAGTGTGCGCTTGCGCACACCGGCCCGTCCGGCGAGCATGCTACACACCTGCCGAAAATCGTACGATTCTCGGCGGGTTTTCGAACTAAGATAAAAGTCGTGCAACCTTACAGTAGCAGATTTCCCGCGATTATCGTACGATTATCGCAAGGTGTGTGGGCACCTTAAGGACTCCTAAGGCATGCAGAGCCGGTTAACAAATCTAAACCACGCCTCACAGGGCAGAATTTTAAAGTCAGTTTTAAAACGTAACAGTCTAGCTTGTCTTCAACTTCACCTAAATACAGCAAACTGGTACAAACTATCTTAAAACTTTTGACGCACAAAGTGACATGACTGTGCTCTGCATGACAAAGATAAATGTGAATATAGTGTAGTTTACAGAACCATTAAATCAAAAGCTTATATTTTATCATACCCTTCCTACTTCAATGGAGTTACACATTAGCCTAACACAAACAACAAACAGTGTATTTCCTTTGTGTCCTGTTTCTTCCTAAACAACACTTCAGCAGGATCACCAGGATCACCAGGATGGGAAAAAGTTTAGCTACATCTATGGAAGTTGGTTAACTTTTATCTATACGCTTCAGGTAGCTGAAGTGTTTTGTAAACTTTTGTTTGTAACATAAACAATACCTTTTTCCTCAATGTCCCCTGAGAAAGTTTCCTCTTCAATGGAGCCCTTGTGCAGCGAACATCTCTTCACTGTCTTCCAGCAGTGTGTCAGTCACTTCCTAGTCTGGAGTCTCGTGATCTCTCCTCACCAGTAGTAGGCTCAGCTTTTACTAAAGTAAATAAACCACAAACAGCTTCTCCTCAGGAATTAACCAGTTGCACTCCAGGGCCATTTATGCTTTTTTCGGCTATAGGTCTTTTAATTCAGCCACAACTTTATTACTTACCGCAAAGTCTGCCTTTTTAAAAAAGTAAATAAAATTGACACTAAACTCAGGAGTTTAAATCTTAAAGATGCCTTCAAGTACCTTAACTATTAACACAAATGTATCTTATTTGTGTATCATTTAGATGTAGATCCTCAAATTATCTCTGAGTTGGTGCTGACACTGTCCTTCATTCTGGAGGGTGGCAACTTTTGTTCCCTATGGTCCCTGTGTGTGTTGTAAAGTAGCCACCGCTCCAAGCTCACTTCCGTGATGGACTATAATTTCAATACAAATAAGTAAACTAAACCATCACGGGAGCGAGCTTGGACCAGTCGCTACTTTTGGAACACACATAGGGTTCACCCGGGAGAAAAGTAACCACCTTCCAGAAAGAAGGATAGTTTCAGCACGAATTCAGAGATGATTTGAGGCTATACACTGAGTGGCCAGATTATTATGACCACCTGACGTTTGTAGGCAAATTAGCTATAATTTCGCGCTGAAGTTGCTAGAGGGCCAGACCATTATAAATAGGGAAGCAGGTTGTGTACCACGACAGTAGAAGTGATTTTTTTCTGAAGATATGGGTAAACAACGCGATTTAACAGCCTTTGAACGTGGGATGATTGTTGGCGCTCGGAGCCATGGAGCGAGTATCAGCAACACAGCAGAATTCGTTAAATGTTCAAGAGCAGCTGTTGTTAAAGTGTTTAAAGACTGGACTGTCAGCCGAAAAACTGCATCTGAATGTGGAAATTGTGGCCGTCAGCGACTAGTCAATGTTAGGGCAGAACGGAGAGTGGCAAGACTGGTACAAGACAACAGAAGAGCAACAGTGCATCAAATTACTGCAGATCTTAATCAGGGATCCTCTCAAATGATCTCTGAATGCACTGTTTGCCGTACACTGCATCGTATGGGATATGGAAGCCGAAGGCCTGTTCGAACAACTTTGCTGTCTGCAGTTAACAAGATAAAACGTCTCCAATTCGCACAGGAACACAAGGATTGGACAGTCGAGCATTGGAAAAAAGTCATGTGGTCCGATGAATCACGTTTCCAGTTGCATCATGCAGATGGCAGAGCGAGAATTGTGCGGAAACAGCATGAAAGCATGCACCCCACATGCATGAGTACAACACTTCAAGCTGGTGGGGGCAGCTTTATGGTTTGGGGCATGTTTACCTGGCATGATTTGGGCCCTTTAATTCATGTGGAACAACGTCTGAATAGCACAACATACCAAAGTATCGTTGCTGATCAAGTTCATCCTATCAATGGAGATGGCTTCTTCCAACAAGACAATGCGCCATGCCACAGTGCTCGTACTGTGCAGGAGTGATTTCAAGAACATAAGGGAGACTTTACCTTGCTTAGGTGGCCCCCACAATCACCAGATCTCAATCCAATTGAGCATTTGTGGGACGAAGTTGAAAGAGCCATTAGACAGCTGGTTCCACAACCATCAAATCTCACCGAACCTTACAGTGCTATTCATCAGGCATGGTGTCAGATTCCTCACATCACCTTTCAACATCTCGTGGAGTCAATGCCAAGAAGAATCGCCTCAGTATTGAAGGCAAAAGGTGGCCCAACGAAGTACTGATGGGGTGGTCATAATAATCTGGCCACTCAGTGTACACCCGAGTGATAAACAAATAACATATATTTTGTTAGTAGTTAAGATATGTGAATGAATTTATAATGGTTTAACTCCCGAGTTTAATGTAACTTTAATAAATGCACACACATTGGTAAAGGAAAAAAGTGTATTTATTTATTGCACTTTTGTTTGTCTATTTTTTTGGTTCCCTAACAATATGGAGGTATGGACCAACCTCTACGGGTCTGGGGGAGTAATCAATCGACTACAAGTGCCATGAGGTCTCCATTGAGCCACACACAGCCACACCAATTTCTGATCAAAACAGAAGCCTGCAGGGATCAGCACCCTGAAATTCAGGGTGGAGGGTGGGAGGCTAGGGAATGTTATCATGTTTCTTATTACACCCTAAATATGTAAGTGACATTAAATAAATACTTATATCCTATGTTCCTCAGCTCCATCTAGTGGCCATAATGCAGTATTTTCGAAATATTACGTTGGAAAATATATGATTTTTTTTTTTGTGTGCAATTTTGTTCTGTGCCTCTGAAGAATACAATACTCCCGATGGCCGCTATGTCTCTTACGCTGCACATGCGCTAGGCCAAAACGGCGCTGATTAAGCATGCAAGACACAGCCCAGTCAATGCCTTTTTGCACAGGTGCAGCAGAGATGCCTAACTGCCAACCTACCTACCTAATTTTCTACCACAGCTATATAGACATTATACAGTAGACATGTGCGATTCGGTTCGTTCCGAAATTCGTTTCGGACGAATTTTCGGAAATTCGGAGATTCGGATGCATCCGAATTCCGAATTACAGCTAAGACGAATGCAAACGAATCCGAAATTCCCGATTTCCCGAAATTTGTTATTGGACGAATTTCGTTGCAGCAAATTGACATTAGGAAAAAAAAATGACACCATATTACCTCTACAACACATCTATGCTTAAAGTACAAAGGCTATAGTGTAGAGGTTAGAGCACAGGATTCCCGTTGCTAACGTACCAGGTTCAAATCCCGGGCAATTACTAATATTTAAAGTTTTTTTTTTTTTCCTTTGCTTTTGAATTGGCATTCTCCTAACATTCCTACCAGACCTAAAGGGTCTGGTATGAATTGGGGGGAACAGCCATGGGAGAGTAAAGTTTTTTGTTTTTTTTCATAAACGAATTTCGGCAGGACTACCGCTAACGAATTTCATCCGAAACTAATTTAATTTCGGACCCGAAAAACGAAACTAAACTAAACAAATTTATTTTATTTTTTTCAAAAAGAAACTAAACTAAACGAATTTTTTGCTGGTGCACATGTCTATTATACAGAGAAACATGAGTTGATCACATGAATATTTTAAGTTCGTAAGACATGTGTGCTGTAAACCAACCTATGGCTTTTTTGAGAGTGCAATTTTGGTACAGGCACTCTTTGAGGGTGCCTATTATTGCATGTTATTTACAAATTGCTGCATTCAGTTGTTTAGAAGTCCAATGCCAGTGTACCATAGCAGCAACACTAAATGAAGACTACCCCATTTCACATGCACGGGAATGTAAATGCATTTTCACATGTAGATGTGAACAATCTAACTCTTAAAACGGTGCAACTAATTTACAAAAATGGTGTAATTCCACTTAGATGAGATGATAAGTTAACAGGGAGATCAAGATGGTTTTTAGTTTAGTTTAAACATATAAACCAATGTTAACATATGAACTAAAATTGGCGGCCTACCTAATGAGCAGAGAGTTTTAAAAACTGCGCTACGATAGCTTGTCAATGTCTTCCGGTCTGAAAAGACAGGTTGTGTAGAGTACTCCAGACTGCTGAATGTCTTTAGTTTAGGTTTTATAACTTATTAGCAATGGTCTAGACCAGTGGTCCCCAACCCCCGGGCCGCGGCCCGGTACCGGTCCGTGGATCAAATGGTACCGGGCCGCAGGCGAAGCAGCGCTCCCGACACCATGCACTCCTGCCTGCATTCAGGATGAACAAGTGGTGAGGAGAGAGCTGCTCGGCCAGGATCTGATAGCCGGTGGCTATCTCCCTCCACACTGCTTGGCCATACTGAAGTGACAGCGCTCCCTCCCTTCCCCCCCCCCCCAAGCGGAGGATCTGTAAATATCTGTGATATTTACTGATCCGCTGTGTGCAGCATAAACATTGGAATAATCAGCTGATCACTCCAGTGTTTGTAAATAACTGGGGACACATAGTACTATGTGTCAAATGTGGGTCTTAAGGTTACACAGGTTGAGAACCACTGCTTTAGGCTATGCCTTATCCTCTGAGTAAATGAGGCAGATGCAGCAGATACAGGCCAAGGTGTGGATCCTGCATTATCTCAAGGAGTTCTCTCTAGCAGCCACATTTGAGAAACCTCCTCTACATGTTTGTTATGTGTTCCCATTCACGCAGCATACTTTAAAATAATTGAAAAAAAGGCTTTTAGCTGTTTTTATGGAGCAGGATTATACATAGGACTCTACAGAGTAGTAGTTGATAAGGGACTGACTGAAGGACAGTTTAAAAAAAAGTTTGTTAACATGCAAAGCGTTGAGATCTTTGACCCTTTTTTAGGACAAGCAGTTATCTAGTAGTCATCTATCCTTTGTTTGGAGAATCAGGTAATATGGAAATCTGTCAGCCCATTACAGACAGGGTTAATTATTTGGAAAAAAACCTCCCCCAAACTAAGCAGGATTTTTCCACCTAAAGCTGGCCATACACCTATAGATTTTCTGCAGACTTTCTATGGTCAGATGGAAAACGTGCAACAGATTCCTCCACCTATGATAAACTGTGTGGATAGAGGAATCTCCCACGAGGCCAAGCTTCAGTATCTTATTAGTCGGCTCCGCTGTCTCTCAAAATACCTCAACATTGCCTGCATCCAATCAGATTGTTCAGGTATTTTGAGAGCCAGCGGGGCTGACTGGCAAGATACTGAAGCTTGGCCCAGTGGAAGATTCCTTGATCCACACAGTTTAGCGTAGGTGGAGGAATCTTTTGCACTTTTCCATCTGACCATAGAAAATCTGCAGATAATCTATAGGTGTATGGCCAGCTTTAGTTGGCTTCATATGATTAAACATCTGAGGCTAGGTTCAGATATCGGTGGTATCGTCCCGGGACCACACAATTGTGCACGATTGCACACAGCGATTCCTGTGCGGCCCCATTGATTTCAATGGGGTTATATTCACACGCCAATTACTGGAAA